CTTGTTGGGCCCTAGTGGAGAGAGAGGGGCCGGCCAGGGCAAGAGGCGTGCCCCTCCCCTTGAGTCCGTATAGGACAAGGAAGGGGGGGCCCCTTGCCTTTCCCCTCTCCCACTCCTTCCTTCCCCCTCCTTCTTGGACTAGGAAAGGGAGGGGCAAACATAGCTACTTGGAGTAGGTTTCCCCCTCCTAGGGCGCGCCACCCCCTTGGCCGGCCCCCTCCTCCTCCCCCTTTATATACGGAGGATGGGGGCACCTCTAGACACACAACAATTGATCTCTTGATCTCTTAGCCGTGTGCGGTGCCCCTCCACCATAGTCCTCGATAATATTGTAGCGGTGCTTAGGCGAAGCCCTGCGACGGTAGAACATCAAGATCGTCACCACGCCGTCGTGCTGACGGAACTCATCCCTGACACCCTGCTGGATCGGAGTCCGGGGATCGTCATCGAGCTGAACGTGTGCTGAACTCGGAGGTGCCGTACGTTCGGTATTTGGATCGGTCGGATCGTGAAGACGCACGACTACATCAACCGCGTTGTCATAACGCTTCCGCTCTTGGTCTATGAGGGTACGTGGACAATACTCTCCCCTCTCGTTGCTATGCATCACCATGATCTTGCGTGTGCGTAGGAACTTTTTTGAAATTACTACGTTCCCCAACAGCCATTTGCTTCTCCATGACCCAACACGAATCTGAAAAGGAGGTGCAGCTCCGCCGCGTGAGGCTTCGGGCGCGGCTTCAAGCAGAGGCAACTACCGCAGCCCTCGGGATGCAGGCTTCCACGACAGCTCGCGACATGGAGGAGGCTTTGATAGCCCACGAGGCGGCATAGAAGGAAGCCCTTCATGCCCGCATTGCCGAGAAGCGATGGAGGAGGGTGGTCAAGGCGATGGCAAAAGGGAAACTACGGCGATCCATGCCATGGCCAAACTTCCTCCCAAGGAGGAGAAAGACGAGGACATCGGTGGATCGGACAGCTCCAGCCGTGAGCAGATCCGCCTCGATCCATTTTGCATCTTTGACCGCTACTGCCTCAAGGACGACAGGGAGGGTGAAAGGATCGATACGGTCGACTAGAGGGGCGGGGGTGAGTAGGAGACTACAGATTTTAATCTTTCTTGTCAATTTTAAGGTTTAGCGGATAAATATGGTTCACTAGATATGCAACTAGGTGAACACAACCTATATGATAAGCAAACTGAAAGCTAAATATGCTAGGCGACAATCTAATTAGCAAGTCAACAAGCATACAAAGCAAACTAAAGTGCGGGGAAGGATTAACCACAAGCGAGGTGAGTACGCGGATTTTATCCAGAAGTTCACTCTTCCTTGGGGAAGAACTACTCTCCGTTTAGAGCGGTGCCGGAGCCAAAGCTTGCGGAATGCCACAAAGGCTCATCGTAGTCTCTTTCGAGTCACCCGCAACGGATGAGGCTCGAATCACTTGGGGTTGGTCTTGAAGGTGACCACCACACATTTACAAACTTCTCCGGAGCACACCACAAGCAAGGAAGCTTGCGGGGGAACCTCTAACCGCCTAGGAGCCCAAGCTCCAAAAGTAACAAGACAATGGGGAAGAAATGTTGCGGGGAACGCGATTTGGTTTGGTCAATATGTAGATCGGGTCTTGCTCTCCCAATCCCCAAAGTTTCAACAAGTTTGGGTGGAGGGATTGAGTGTATTGAGCAAAATGGGGTGTAGCAATGCTGGAGCCCAACAAGACATTAGGGTTGGAGATGGAGAAGGAAGAAGGGTGGCTTTTATATTTTTCTTGGCCGGGTGGCCGTTTCTGCCCGTTGGACCCTGTGCGCATGGGCTAAGTCAGCCCCGTGCGCACGGGGTACTCAGGAACAAGCGCACCACCCCGTGCGCACAGGGTACTCAGGAAGTTACGCAGTACCCGCATGCGCACGGGGGTCAAAAAACCCCGTGCGCATAGGGTATCCAGAAACTTTCTGTTGTGAGCTCTCTGAGTACCACACGCAAGCACACTACTGATATAAGTGGTAGGCGTGGGTAGGCTGGTGTTTAGGTTTTGGCAATGGCATTCTCACATAACACAGATCCACACCGACCCCTCTTAATAGTGCGGTCTTTCCTATGACTCGAATTGAACCAAAAAGAAAACCTTCGAATCGCCGATAGACCACGCTTTTGATCTTTTTGATTTGGGGGGAGGGGGGGTCGCACACCTCCATCAAGAACAACTTGGAACCAATATCCTCGGATAAACTTTAGCACCCGTTATTAGTTTTTTTAACCACATTTTCACCACACCAAAATATACTTTAAGTGACACTTGCACTTTCAAAGGGCAAGGGCAAGGCCGCTGTGGATGAACTCCTCCGGTCATCGTTCTTGTCGTTGTTAGTAGGGCATGTCAAATTTTGGTAATCGGTGACATGTGTTTAGCTCCGTAGGACGTTCCATGATCCAATATGGATTCAATTATTCAATTTAGATGCATCCGGTTGTGGAGGAGCAATTTTCTGTGATGTCCGATGACTATCCGCGGGCCCGCAGGCGTGTCCGCAAGTGTTTTGGGACCAAAATTTGGCAAGTGTGGTTGTAGATGCTCTAAGGGCCTCTTTGATTTGTAGGATTTAAAAACGCGGCAAAAGGGAAAGTATAGGATTGAAGTGGCATTGCTCATTTGAATTCTATAGGATAAACAAGGAGTGTTTGATGCTGCTGAATTATTATTTTTATAAAAAATGCTTCAAGTGGATGTTAGATTTTCTATGAAATGCAGTATAAATGATTTCATAGGAATTATATGAGATCCAATCGTATGAATCAAACGACTAACGTAGGAAAAAAATCCTAAGAATTTCTTTGGATCAATATCAAAGGAGCCCTAAATCCATTTCCCCGTAGACAGGATCGCCGTGTGAACGGACAAGACTTGACACGAATAAATAGGCAACAGGACACCATGGACTGACCTCGTTTCTCTTTCGAGGGGAGACTGACCTCGATATTGGTGCCCACTTGGTTCAGCTCACGCTGCTACAAGTCCAGCGTTTGCTGACAAATAGGAATAAATTCTAACACTGTTTGGTTTCTGACTCTCCATGTGACGAACTTCAACACTCCGGCTTGGACAACCTGCACGCGCAGTGAATTCAATTCACCCAGGTCGCCAAGTTCGTAGAGTTCATATTAGGTGGCCACCATGACGTACGTACTTGCATCTTACGTTAGCAAGCAAGCATAATACATAGCATTGCCGTGTATATATATGCATCATCACACCAACACTTGTTGCTCACATCCTATATGAGCATTGCCACCCATACTCTCCATTGAAGCCCGCCATCCATAGTTCTTCCATACTACTCTCCACCATGGCCACGCCTCTTTGGCAATTCCATTCCCGGCGGCGGCGGCTGAGGCTGCCGACGATCCTACTCATCGTTGCCGCTGCGACTGACCTCTTCGTCCTGGCTGCTTCTGCTGCTGCAGAACAACAGCAAATGCCCGTCGCCCGCCCGTATTGCCGCGACAAGTGCGGCAATATCAGCATCCCCTACCCGTTCGGCATTGGGCCGGGCTGCTTCATTGCTCAGCAATTCGAGGTTTACTGCAACGACTCCACCAGTCCCCCTCGCGTCTTCCTTGTTGTCGCACCACGTGAGACATACCAGCTAACGGGCGAGGCCATCATATCGGCTCGTGACCGGTTCCCTTATGTGTTCGACGAATTGGCGTTACCGCCGTCGCCGATCGAGCTGGTTGACATATCGGTCGAGCGGAATGAGGTCCGGGCATATGGCGCCGTCTCATCTTACTGCCGTCAATCCACCACCAAGCATGTGCTCAAGCTTCAGCTTACTTCTGTGGGGCCTGCCAAGACCATGTGGCCGCTCAACTTGTCGAAGCGCAACTCTCTCGTTGGCATCGGCAAGAATGTCGAAGCTAGGTTGGCAACCCGCATGTACATGGACTACCCAAGCTCGGATCCATGGCTAGAGTCAACCTGCACTTCAATCGTCGAATTCAGTGGTTTCAAGTCACCCACAAACGGGTCGTGCTCCGGGTATGGCTGCTGTCAGGTCCCCTTCGCGGCTGCAGTAGATGACACCCCGCCGGTAGAATTTGCGGTGTCGTTCAAGCCCGATAACTCTACTTGGGTGGATTGGGAAGAACACCCGTGCTCCTACGGAATGGTGGTGGAGAGTTCATGGTACAACTTCTCTTCGCTGGACCTGTACGGCTATGAAGTGCTATCCAGGAAATTCCAAAGGGGCGTCCCCTTCGTCATCGATTTCGCCATCATAACCGAACAGAACGGTTCATGTCCGGCTGAAGGCCAGCAGCCACTGGAGAATTAAGAATTATTTTGGGGGAGTACTTAGATGAGACTTTTTTAGGCATTTTACACCCTCAAACAGTCATGTTTTAGTCTTGGCCCCCCCAACACTTTCTACCTAGCTCCTCCACTGCCTACGTCAACAATGGATGTCAAGGTACACATGCTATTTATTATTTTAGATTCATACACACAAATTTTGTAGTATAAAACATTACATAGATTTGCCAATTCTCTCTCTCTCTCTATATATATATATATATATGCGTACTTCTCCACCGGCCGGATATTTAATCGTCACTTACTTCTTTCAGACATCGATGAGTGCAAGAACCGTGATTTGTATCCATGCTCAAGAGACGGGGTATGCAAGAACAGGCTTGGAGGCTATGACTGTCCATGCAAGCGCGGAATGAAGGGTGACGGCAAAGCAGGAACCTGCAAAGATATAGTCCCATTAGTCGCTAAAGTGGTCATGGGTAAGTATCGTGTACTTAATTAGTACTCCCTCCGTCTAGGTGAGTAAGTCATCTTAGATTGTGCATCGTGACCAAGAAGGAGGGGAAACGAGAGACCTTAATGTTTATTTGCTAATTAATAGCATTGCATGCAACGAACTAACCACTGCATGTCGTGTTTGGTATTCTCAAGTCACTAAAAGCATGCACATCCCTCATCTCTTATTGGTTGATATGTCAAGAAACAAAAAACAAGGTAGAAGTTAATGCACCGTGCCTAAGTGTTTTGGGATTATTTGATTTTCGTAAGATGACTTACGCACCTAGATGGAGGGAGTAATTCATTTTTTGTGAAAAAATCCAATCTGAACCCGAGCTCATCTGCACCTGCGCTCACGAAAAAAATCAAAATAAATACTAAAAAAATTCAAAAAATTCCAAAAAAATTGGGGTGGTGGACAATTTGATGCGTGAGGTAAGCTCCAATTTTCAAAACATTTGGACTTCTGTGCAGCTCTCAGAAAAAAAGACAAATCGGAGGTCTGTAAAAATGTGTACTGTTCATATACTGTTCTAGTCTGATTTGTCTTTTTTGCTGAGAGATGCACAGAAGTCCAAATGTTTTGAAAATTGGAGCGTACTTCACGCATCAAATTGTCAACCACCCGATTTTTTTTTGGAATTTTTTGATTTTTTCTGAATTTTTTATGATTTTTTTTGACCGGGTGCAGATGCACCCGGGCACCGAAACGCCGCTCTCATTTTTTGTTTGCTACTTGCATTTAGTTAGTTTTTGCATTTTACTAGACTAGGGTAGTTTAAATTTATATTTCTTTACGGAGGGAGTAATTCATTTTTTGTTTGCTACTTGCATTTAGTTAGTTTTTGCATTTTACTAGACTAGGGTAGTTTAAATTTATTGAGCGATGCAGATTGATATAAACAATACTCCACAAAGAATTGGTGTGTCCATTTTACCACCTGCTATTGTGACTTGCGAGTAATCATGCATAGCATGCAGTAACATGTACCGTGAAGAGAGCACAATGGCTTAAATAGGGGGTTAACCGTGTCATTTAGTATGTCAACTAATTAAGGAGTAATTACTGCATATGAGGAGTAATTAGTAGCCAGTCTAGTGCAAATATACCACCAGGCAAATTAATAGCCGATACCAATCATTAATCTTTTGACATGGAGTATTCTCACTCAAATCGTTAATCTTTTGACATGGAGTATTCTCACCCAAATCATTCTTCTTTTGACATATGGAGTATTTTTTTAATCTAAAAATGATCAGGCAAAGTAATACTACCTCCTTCCCAAAATAAGTGTCTCAACTTTGTACTAAGCTTACTACAAAGTTGTACAAAAGTTGAGACACTTATTTCAGGACGGAGGGAGTAGTTATCTACAAATTAACTAGGCAAATTAAAGGCCTTCTTTACATGGGGTATTTAGTTTCTCACCCAAATCATTAATCTTCAAGCACTTTTGCTTTTATACTTGCTGGCATGCGCACCCAATGCTGCTGTAGAAGGATCCTTATAACGCTGTTCTGTGTGTTACATTTTCAATGAAAATGGAACTAAGTCCAGAGAGCCATTCGATCGGAAAAAATTATGTCTTCAAATTCCATGTTAAAAAAAAGTCATCAGGCAATAACTTGATTGTCGCTGATGTACTCAGCCAATCCAAATCATCAAATGGTAATATAGAGATTTTTAGGTTGATTTCCTAACAGATACAAATGGGCATACATCACTATTTAGTATTTCTTTAAACTGTCTTGATTTCTCATAATTTTTATAATTTATACTAGAGGTGCAGTGATTATCTTTGGCACACTTGTTTGGAAGTCCTAGTCCCTCATCAATCTTGATGCTTATTTTGTGCTACTTCTAGTGTTATTTTACTGCAGACCGCAAATAGATTATTGAGAGGTCGTTTCCCTTTTTACGTACTATCTTTGTCTACTAATAAGTCGGTTAATGTAAATTGTAGTGGTATAAATTAGTTTGTGTCTTCTCCATACAGGTGCAACAGGTTTTATTTTCGTCATGGTTATATTATTTCTTATTATTCTTCAAAAAGAGAGAACAAAGACAAGAGAGTTTTACAAAAAAAATGGTGGGCCTATATTAGAGAAGGCAAAGATAATAAAGCTTTTCAAAAAGGAAGAGCTCAAGCCTATTATAAAGAGTGACAATTTTATTGGAAAAGGTGGCTTCGGTGAAGTTTACAAGGGTCTTCTTGCTAATGAACTAGTTGCAGTCAAGAAGCCCATCAGTGGGAGTGTACTAGAGACTGAACAATTTGCAAACGAAGTCATCATCCAGTCTCAAGTCATACACAAGAATATTGTTAGGCTCATAGGTTGTTGTCTTGAAGTGGACCTTCCAATGCTAGTGTATGAGTTTCTCTCCAAAGGCAGTTTGGAAGACATTCTTCACAGTGACAACAAGGTGCCTGTCAACTTGGACCTACGTTTAAGAGTTGCTGCAGAATCAGCAGATGGTCTAGCTTATATGCACTCAAAAACCACAACTAAAATCCTGCATGGTGATGTTAAACCAGCAAATATACTCTTGGATGACAATTTTGTGCCGAAGATATCAGATTTTGTCATATCGAGGTTGATTCCGAGAGATAAACAACATACCCTATCAATCATTGGTGACAGAACTTATATGGATCCAGTATATCTACAAACGGGGCTACTAACCGAAAAAAGTGATGTCTACAGTTTCGGAGTAGTTATCTTGGAGCTTATTAGCAGGGAGAAGGCCACATATTCCGACAATAATAGCCTCGTACAGAAGTTTCTTGAAGCTCACAAGAAAGAGAGGAAAGCAACTGAGTATTTTGACAAGGAAATTGCAGTACCAAGAGATTTAGGGCTTCTTGATAGTCTAGCAGAGATGGCTGTGGAATGCCTCAGCCTTGATGTGGATCAAAGACCAACAATGACAGAGGTAGCAGAGCGCCTCCTCAAACTGTTCCGATCTCGTGAGTTGTAAGTTGTAACTTGTTTGTAAGGTGATGCCCATTCTAGTTTGTGTGAACAATATGTATGTCCAGTAAATTAAGATAGACAACTATCGCTGTGGTAATGTTTGTCTTATGCTGTTTTGGTGGAAAAATTGTAGGCGTAGAGGCAGGGGTGGTCTCCCTTGGTTCATTTGTACTGTACCGTGACTCATTGAGTAATTGTGTGTTCTAAGTGAGCAAATGTTGTATCGATTACTTAAATACTTCTGTTGCTTTTGGCAATAAAATCCATTTGTCCTTCAAGAATGGCCATGTTTAAGCTGCACACAAAAATGCATATGTACCACCCAATTGAATTTCTGAACGTATCTTGTTCTGTTGTGTTGGTCTTGGAGAACTGTCGAGTGTATTACTGAAACAATGGCTATGTGAATTGTGAAAGATTATCAGAATGTATTTTTGTGTGTGTGTCAATCCTTTAACCGCTGTGGGAATGATGGTTTGCCATGATGCTGATGTTGTTGTTCTGCGAAATCTTCCCCATCCCGTCCGTAACATGCATGATCCAACTTCCCCGTGCAAATTCCTGCATTACTGAGGTTGCCATGTTGGTCCAATCAATTGTACACTTCTCTAATATTCTCAGTCGGTTGCCAAGTCAAAAACACACGCATAAGATGGAACTAGAGATGGCACGAGAATAAACTCTGAATTCTTGGCGTGTATGATCAACTTATGAGCAGGTAAATCTCTGAATCTGCCTAGCAGAATTTGGTGCTCTGCTTCAGTGATTAGCGCTACGTTGACCCAGCACCAAACGTTCATACGCTACCCTACTAGAACGCCCATGTCAGATAGAACAAGACAGCTCCAGAAGGATCATTGCACCAAATCACCAACCGTGGAAAATAAAGAAAGGGGTAGAGGAGAGGGCTTCATGGCGGCCTCCAGTAAATCCTCCCGATGTCTATCGGCTTGTGGCTAACACTAGGCAGAAAATTGCGGACGGTGGTTGGCGTTACAAAAACAACACTAAGCTAAGAGCATCTCTAACCACCCGACGGTTGTTGTAGTTGACGAAATAGGTTTTCGCCCCGCTATATAGATTTAGCAACCACCCGATACAACAAAGAGTCCAATGTTGGGGCAAACAGCACAAGCACGTCCAAAAGAAACAAAAGAGAAAGAGCAGAGAAAAAAAATGTCGACAACGTCGGATCGACGAAAACAATGATGACCCGCAACCGCTGCGCCCACCGGACATTTACCACCTCACACCTAGCATCTTGAACCTCCGCATACCAAGCAACACCTTCAGGAAGGAACAAGACGACGACGACGTTGCTGCCCGGACAATTCTTAGGGTTTCCCCCGGTACGCGGAGGGGCGTGGGGAAGGGGAATACCCGTCGCCCTTCAGGAAGGAACGGTGGTGCCTACAAGCGTCACCACGTCGGTGCTGACAAGCTAGCAGGGGTTTCTCCCATCCACCAATCACCCATATCCCCGAATGGTCCGATGCGCTCCACCATTCATGCCGCCCACCAACATGCGTCGTCACGGTCTTGCCATCATCACCGCCGCCTCACCATGGTCAACGAAGCGAGACCGACGAGGTCGAAAGAGAGCAGCCGGGAACGAGGAGCGGCGACGACAGCAGCCACGCGAGAGGAGACAACCTCCACCGTCATCGGTGGTCACAGACCGGACGCAGCGAGAGGAGCACACTGGGCCCTCAAGGCCAGGACGAGCCCAAAAGGGGCTTGTGAAGCGCCCTCGCCACGCTGCAATAGGCGCACCGCCGTCTCCACAACCCCCTGCACAAGCCGCACCTCCTCTGGCCCGCCGGAGCCGCCGCAGACGAGATCGAGCCAGTCCCACCTAGACCCAAGAGGAGACCAGATCTAGGCCGGGAGGGCATCGCCACCATCCACCGCGCCAGCCCGCCGCCCCCTAGCCATCCGGAGCCGCGCCGACAGAGCAGTCGCCGCCGCCGGAACCTCGGCAGACCGAGGAGCACCGCCGCGGGTCACCTCCACCCGAGCCAGGGCAGCGTGCGCAGGGAAGGACGAGGACGCCGCCGACACCATGCGGGGCAGGGCCCGATGGCGCAGGCCGGCGGCGGCGGGAGGAGGGTTAGGGTAAGGGGGACGCTGGGGGCGACGAGAGGAGCCCCCCGGTCGCCTCGCTTGGGGAGGCGACGCGGGGGAAACGAGAGGGAGGGAAGGGCGGAGCGGGGGGAACGAGAGGGAGGGAATGTAACGCCCTCGATGCGGCTATATCTCCCACGTGTCGAAGCACGACTTAGAGGCATAACCGCATTGAAAGCAATGTCGCAAGTGAGGTAATCTTTGCACAACCCATGTAATACATAAGGGAAAAGATACATATTTGGCTTACAGTCGCCACTTCACACAATACATAAATAAACATCCATCATCTAGATTACACTCAAGGTCCGACTACGGAACAAAAATAAAAGAAGACTACCCCAAATGCTACACAGATCCCCGATCGTCCCGACTGGGCACCTCTACTGATCATCTGGAAACGATACATAGTAACGACCAAGGGCCTCATCAAATTCCCACTTGAGCTCGGTTGCGCCATCTGCGCCGGTATCCTCGGCACCTGCATCTTTTTTGGTAGAATCTGTGAGCCACGAGGACTCAGCAATCTCACACCCGCGAGATCAAGGCTATTTAAGCTCATAGGTAGGAAAAGGGCAATATCATGGAGCTGCGGCAAGCACTAAGCATATATGGTGGCTAACATACGCAAGTGAGAGCGAGAAGAGAAGCAATGCAACGGTCGAGAGGCTAGAAGTGATCAAGAAGTGATCCTAAAACTACTTACGTCAAGCATAACTCAAACCGTGTTCACTTCCCGGACTCCGCCGAGAAGAGACCATCACGGCTACACACACGGTTGATGCATTTTAATGAAGTCAAGTGTCAAGTTATCTACAACCGGACATTAACAAATTCCCATCTGCCTCATAACCGCGGGCACGGCTTTCGAAAGATTATATACCCTGCAGGGGTGTCCCAACTTAGCCCATCATAAGCTCTCACGGTCAACGAAGGATATACCTTCTCCCGGGAAGACCCGGTCAGTCTCGGAATCCCGGTTCGCAAGACATTTCGACAATGGTAAAACAAGACCAGCAAGACCACCCGACTGTGCCGACAAATCCCGATAGGAGCTGCACATATCTCGTTCTCAGGGCACACCGGATAAGCTAAGCGTACAGGTCCGACGTAATCCAAGTTGCCAAGGAATGGTCCCGCACGGTGCTCTAGTTTGGACCAACACTCAGAGGAGCACTGGCCCGGGGGGTAAATAAAGATGACCCTCGGGCTCGCGAAAACCCAAGGGAAAAAGGCTTAGGTGGCAAATGGTAAAACCAAGGTTGGGCCTTGCTGGAGGAGTTTTATTCAAAGCGAACTGTCAAGGGGGTCCCATAAATCACCCAACCGCGCAAGGAATGCAAAATCAAGGAACATAACACCGGTATGACGGAAACTAGGGCGGCAAGAGTGGAACAAATCACCAGGCATAAGGTGCATTAATTAAATAGGAGATATTGTGATATCCCAAAATATCCATGTTCCGCCCAGGAACAAACTTCATCTTCACCTGCAACTAGCAACGCTATAAGAGGGGCTGAGCAAAAGCGGTGACATGGCCAATCAACGGTTTGCTAGGACAGGATGGTTAGAGGTTTGACATGGCAATAGGGAGGCATGATAAACAAAGGCGGGTAGAGCTAACATAGCGAAAGAGCGAGCAGCTAGCAAAGCAAAGATAGAAGTGATATCGAAGGTATGGTCATCTTGCCTGCAAAGTTCTCAGAGTTGTCGAAGGCTTGATCCTCGTAAACGTTCTCAACAGGTTCCTCGTTCACGTACTCATCTCCCGGCTCTACCCAAAGAAAGAACACAATCAAAGGAACCACAATAAATCACGGTGCAATGCACAAGCAACATGATGCAAAACATGACATGATATGCGAGATGTGATATGCAATGCATATGCGTGCTCCGGAAGGGAAATGATGAACAAGGCATCAACTTGGCAAACCAAGTATGCCGCTGGAAATATGAGATGATTTCGGTCGAAATCGATATGAAGATCACCGGAAACGGATGCACGGTTTGCAAATGGCAAGCAAAACAATAAGGGCACAAATCTGCGATTAACAGCACGATGCTACTTAGCATGCAACAAGAAACTATGCTACAGCACCCCAACATACAAACAAAGCATATGGCAGTGATCTACATGAGGTGCTTAACAAAATAGGAACACTGAGCTACGGCTAAATCACATAATAACAGGTCCAAACAAGCATGGTGGAAGTGCAAAAAATATCAGACTGGACATGGCATAAACAGCATCAGGAAGCAATGTTCAGAGCAAGTTATCAACAAGCTACAGGAACTTATAATGGCAAAACAAGATATGGCATGAATCTACTCAAAGCATAGATCAAAAGTCCCTTACTGACCATAAGCCAAAAAGGATCAGAAGAAATGATGGCATGCATGTAAAATTAGCAAGTTTCGGTAACAGATTCAGCAAACAAAGCATGGCATTGACAGATTTACGAAGGCACCTTCGTGAGCTCGATGCACTCACTACAGAGCACCTCATGATAAACTAAGCATACATCCATCAAGAAGACATGGCATAGAAGTTATACATGGCAAGAACAACATCATATCATACACGGATCAACTACAACAACCTCGTAAAAATTGAATATCATGTAAACAATCTGCCAGGAAACATTTTGTAGAAAAAGTAGAGCACGAAAATGGCATGCTAGACTACTCCATAATTCCACACAAGGGCATGAATGGATAGAGCATAACCATATGTTCAAAACACCCTTACTGAAGTATCCCTAAATATGCATGGATCTCTCTGTAGCAACATGTTTACATGGCATCACAATAACAGCAGAACAGGGACCAAAATCAGCAATATCACGAAGCCTAGTTTGCATGCTTGTGCTAGTCACCACA